ACACTCCGTTCCCATCGTTGTTGGGAATGGTACGTACCTGGCCTGTGGGCCCGTAGAAGAACTGCGCTCTGATGTGGGCGTCGACCATGTGGCCCGTTCGCTGCATCATCTCCGCACGTTGCCACACGATATCACTCACACCCATCGGCTCCCTTGAACCAGCCAACGGCGCAATATGATGATATGATGATACGATGGCGATGATTAGCTTGAACCAATGAGTCGGAGGAGAATGAATCAAAGCGGTGAGATGATTGGGGGGGGGCTGGCACCTACCCGGTGCCGAAGAGAAGGCGGTGGAGCTGCCAGGTCTTGTCGGGCACGAGAATCATGAATGTGCGCGGTTTGGAGAACAGCAAATCCTCCTGCGAGTGGCCCACCAGTCGGCACAGCTGCGGGTTGACAAACATGTGCCGAGCTTGCAGCGGTCCGGCGAAATAGCTCACAAGTGTAGGCTTCCTGCCACCGCCCCACATTGCAACCGCCCAACCGCCCAACCGAACCACCAATCAGTCAACTCCACTTCATCAGTGCCGTTGGCCGGGTGGTGCACATGCTGAGCTGGTGGTGGTGGTGGTGGGTGGTACCCAGGATCGGCACCGACGAAGGGTCTGCCGCGCATGTCGTAGTCCCGAAGGAACGGGAACTGTTGGAGCACCACACGATCGCTGATGACGACCGGCGACGACGCCTGCGGACAATACGGTTGATGTGGGATGGCGGCGGCGGCGGCGGCGGCGGCGGGTCGACAGCGATCTGCCTTCTGTTCCAACCTTGGCTGGTCCGAGTGCGGTGGTGCGTGTTGGTGTTGGGCGACCAGTGATCGGAGCTCGCGCAGGGCCTCGCGGTGCTTGCGCTGGCGTTTCTTCAGGCGGGCGTTGTCGTGCTCGAGCTGGCGCACCCGCTTGACCAACCCATTGAGGGCCTCCGCGAGACAGACGCCCGATATGGCGCCGTCGCCCGTGGGTGGCCCACCGAGCGCTGCCGTAGGTACCGCCACCGGTGGTTTCTCTTTCCTCGTCCAGTCGGCCGAAGGGTGGGGCTGGCTGGGCATTGGTGCGGTTACGGCTGGCGTCGGCTGTGGCACGATCGCCACTTGGCGCCGCGTCGGTTCGGTGCCTGTGCACAGGCAGGATTAGTATAAAATACTAAAATAAATATAAAAATAAATATAAATAAATACTAAAATAAGAAATAAAAATAAATATAAATAAATACAGAGAAACCCCACCCACGGCGGGAAAAAAAGAAGGGGCGTACCTCGACTGGGGCGACGGGGCCTTCCGCGTCCTCGCGGCTTGGGTGGTTGGGCAGAAGGATGAGAGCAGTTTGTTGTCTGCATTGTTGAGCCGGGCGCTCCGGGGACCCAGTTCTCCATCTTGACACTCTCGGGTGTGCTCTTGTGTGGTAACGCGTTTGGACATAATATTATCTCCACATCGCTGATTAATAAATAACGCTACAATCCCCGTGTTGTAAACAGTCTTTAGCACGACACGACACACGCGTACGATACCGGTGTGGTGCGCTCTCTGTGTAAACTGGCAAGGCGGTGGCGGAGGACCGGCAATTCATGCATGCCGAAGCGCTCAGTTGCGTCTGGTGCTGGGCGTCGACATTGGCGCCGTAGCGCGCCAGCAGAGGGGCGAACTGAGCGCCGAGGTAGTGGATGGGTGGGGCGCCGGTCAGCGGGTGGCGCATGTTGAGGTCCAGCCCGAGCCCGATGAGCGCCTTGAGGTTCCTCTCGAGCACGAATTGCGGGCCATGCCTGAACAGCCCCTCGAGCGCCACGTGGCTGCCCTCACCCACCAATAAGAACGCTCACGTCATATCTTCGATCGAAAGGTGGTTGGCTATTCTGGAATAGTAGTAGTCGTCGTTAGTAGGAGATCAGTTGGTTACCTGGCGACGTTGAGGCCGTTGGCCGCCAGCAGCACCATGATGCGCGGCGAGCTGCTCCCCACCAGCGGCAGAACAACTGTGTTGACGTCGGTGGCTGCTGCCGACCATCCCCCGCATCCTGGTGGGCTCCCCTTGGTCCCCGCTGTGGAGGTCGGCGGGGCCAGGTGGGATGTTCATGCGCTGGTGAGCACCACGCTGACCGTGAGCGCTGCAATGAGTGCATACCGCCCCTCCCCGGCGGCGAGGGTCCACCACAGGTACCCGAGCATGAAGAGCGTGTTGGTCCATATGGCCATCTCGCAGAGGCGCAGGGCTGGGTCGTATCCAATTTATTGACAGTCTTAATCCGCGTAAACAGGCTGCACCTCGAGTA